TGGAGCATCGCGTGAGGCCTTGCAGCTCCAGGGGATCCCGCGCTGAGGAGCGGGAGAGGAAGTGGGAAGAAGCCCTGGGGATGCCTGTGGCAGTGAGGTCACGCTCTGTCCCTGCCACTGCCGCATGTATGTGGGGGACCGCAGTCCCTACACTGCAACAGGGACAATGTCAGGTTTTCAGTGATTTCCTCTCTAAAGACACATGTGCCCAGCTAGTGTTCCCTACAGGTGGGATTTGCAAATCAATACATTGTGGAACTTCTCCGGTCTCCCTCCAGCCACTGAAACTGGAATTTGTTCAAGGATGGGATAGACAGAACCCATGTGCTGCAGCAGTAAGGCAGCTGCACCGGCGTCCCCTGGGCCCGCTCCAGAGCCTTTAATGCCGATGCGCGTTGGGATACGCGCTTTGCACCGAGGACCGTTGCCCCCGCCATGGCTCACATGGGCTCTGTCCTTTCCTCTCGCACAGTTTTTGAGGAGCCCGAGGACCCAAGCAACCGCTCCTTCTTCTCCGAGATCATCTCCTCCATCTCCGACGTGAAGTTCAGCCACAGTGGCAGGTACATCCTGACCCGGGACTACCTCACGGTCAAGGTGTGGGACCTGAACATGGAGAACCGGCCCATGGAGACCTACCAGGTGAGCTGGGGCCGGGAGAGCGTCGGAACAAACTTGGCCGGGTCCTGCTCGCCGGGGGCAGAGCTCGGCGCCTCGGTGCTCACGGGCAGCGAGGGCCTCGGCGCTCCACCATGCTCTCACGGCACTGTCCCCAGGTTCATGACTACCTGCGCAGCAAGCTGTGCTCGCTCTACGAGAACGACTGCATCTTTGACAAGTTCGAGTGCGTGTGGAACGGCTCTGACAGGTGAGCGGCGGCACGGCGGGCACCAGCAGCCGCGGTGTTGGTACAGAGCTGAGTGCGGGGCAGAGCACGGGTGCAATGAGCTGCAGCCACCTCCACGCTACCCTTCTGGCCCCTTTGCTGGCTGTGGGTCATGAGCCACGTGCTACCAGCGCAGGGCGGGCTCTGCAGATCCTCCTGCCTGCACATCCCTGGCACCATCCATACGGGAGCCTCCCCGCGCAGCACTGCCAGATTTTGGGCAACAGCGGGCCCAAAATCCAGGGCCATAGGGGCTGCCAGGCACCTCGCCAGGCAGGGAGAATCTGAGACCTCCCATGCTGGTGCGGACGTAGCAGGAGTCTCAGGAGAGGGCCCAGCTTGGGGCATTATCCAAGCCATGAGGCATCTGGTCTCAGATTGCACAAATCTAGGTGATAAGAGCCATGATAAGAGTCATCCATGCAGAAATGGCACCACCCCAGGTGGATCCCTGCCAGTTGCCCCGCAGAAACCATCAGCGCAAATTGATGCGGCTCTGCTGGGCCTCAGACCCACATCCCGAACGCCCCTGACGCTCCGCACGTTGCGGGTGTGCGGTGCTGGACAGGGCTGCTTGGCCCCCACATGCCAGAGGGCGGCTCCTCCCAGGGTCCAGGCCTTGCACAGGACGGAGCTGGGCGCTGCAGGCCTCGCTCACCCATCCCCTTCACCCGCAGTGTCATCATGACCGGCTCCTACAACAACTTCTTCCGCATGTTCGACCGCAACACCAAGCGCGACGTGACGCTGGAGGCCTCGCGGGAGAACAGCAAGCCCCGCGCCGTCCTCAAGCCCCGCAAGGTCTGCGTCGGCGGCAAGCGGCGGAAGGATGAGATCAGTGTGGACAGTCTGGACTTTAGCAAAAAGATCCTGCACACAGCATGGCACCCCACGGAGAACATCATCGCCGTGGCGGCCACCAACAACCTGTACATATTCCAGGACAAGGTCAACTAGGAGAAGCCAAGTCTTTAGGCATCTCATGTACTGAATACTAGTAAACACAAGGTTTCAAATGGTTCTCTCCTTTCTTTCTTTTTTCACCCTTTCTCTGTCCTTTTGGTCCCTCTAGGGGCCTGCCGAGTGCAGCGCGCTCGGGGGCGAGTGAGCAGCACGATGCAGCGCAGCGCTGAGCACCGAGCGCGCGAGCTTGGGCACCACCGCCAGGTCAGCGCTGCTGGCGCTGGGGCCGCAGGATGGCACGGGGTCTGCTGGGGAGGCGGAACCGCGGGGACGTGGGCACAAATGGCAGCCGGGTGGAGGGGAAGGGGAGTGTGTGTGAGACGAGGCACGTGTGCGAGTGTGTGTGCAAGAGCGTGCACGCATGGGGTTTTACCCCGGCCACCCACCTTGGCTTTACGGAGTTCCCTCCTTGCATGGCTGCTCCCCGGGGCACCACAGCGCTGCCCCTCAGCCGCTTCTCAAACTTGCCCTTTTTGGCACCATTTGCCCCACACTCCCACCAGCCGGGACAACAGAACCCGACAGAGTCTGGCTGAGCCGGGCAGCACAGGGGCCCTATGGCAGCTCCTGCTGCTCCACGTCTGTGCCAATTCCCATGGGATCAGCTCCACAACCCCTGGGTGACTTTTTTTACCCAAAATACCTTCACAAGCGACGCTTCCAGACTCCAAACCGCCCGCGTGCTTTCCTCCAGCACTGACTGGGTTTCAGTGCTCATTTTTACCTGCTCCATTGCAGTCTTGCACGTGTTGTGTCTCTCCCTCTCTCTTTTTCTCCTTTTCTTTTTAAATTTATTTATTTATTTATTCAACGTTTTTAAAGATAAGATGTAAGTTGATAATTTAAGATATTCTAAAAAAAAAAAAAAAAACCAGCCACATTTTGCTGTTAGCACTGGCACCAGCAGCAAGAGGCCACCTGCAGTTCCCCATTACAGCAATCACGCTGATGGTAATTAATGAAAGCATCAACTCCTGGTCTCATCACAGAGCCGTGCTTTCTGCTGCGAGGATGTTTAGGGCCCTCCTTTACTCAAGTATCAGTTCAATAAAAAAGTAATTAAAAAAAAAAAACAAGTGAGGATTTTCCTTCAGCGTCATGTGTCTCCCACCCCAGCTGTACGCCCAGGAAGAGAGTCCCTTCAAAACCAAAATGATAAAAACAGAGCAGGAGCGAACACCTCCTTTCCACACCGTGTTTCCTGCTGCTGTTGGAAAGCCTGGGGTTGCCGCCAGCACAAAGTTGTCCCAGACGCGTCCCTGTGGGGCTGGGTGACATGGGAGCGCAGGGGCTGGCAAGGGGTCTTGGGACAATGGGGGCCTGTGGCACCGAGTTGGGGCTGTGGGGCCATGGGGCACTATGGGGCAGTGGGGAGGGTGATGGCGGAACGATGGGGTGTTGTGGGGCGCTGCAGAGCAATGGGAGCCAATGGGGCCTGTGGGACACCATGGCACAAGGCAGGATCATGCACTGCTCTTGGGCCAAGGTGGGGAGCTGTGGGGCCATGGGGGGCTGTAGGAAACTATGGGGCAATGAGAGGCCATGGGGTGCTGCAGGGCGCTGCAGGGTGATGAGGTGCTGTGGGAGGGGTGAGGTGTGATGGGGCCCCACCATGGCACAAGGCAGGACCATGCAGTGCTCTTGGGCCAAGGGGGGGAGCTGTGGGGCCATGGGGGGCTGTAGGAAACTATGGGGCAATGAGAGGCCATGGGGTGCTGCAGGGCGCTGCAGGGTGATGAGGTGCTGTGGGAGGGGTGAGGTGTGATGGGGCCCCATGGCCGGGCCCGGTGGCTGCAGCTGGAGGTGGTGGCCGCGCGCGGGGTGCTCGATGTCACATCGGTCCCCCCTGCCCACGTGTGGGGCTGGACCCAACCTCGTCCCCCCG